TCGAGCTCTACGACGGCCTGGAGGCGGCCAGCCAGAACGCCTGGCCCTCGCTGCGCTTCGACCTGAGCGCGGCCAACCAGCTCCTCGCGCCCTTCCTGCCGGCCGGCTTCTACTACAAGACCTTCATGTGGCCGGCCGCCTTCTGGGAGCGGGTCTACGAGCCGCTGATCCGCCGCGCCGCCGGGCTCGGCCGCGGCACCCACGCGCCCGACCCGGACAGCTACGAGAAGGGCAACCTGCACTGCGACCTGCTGGTCGTCGGCGCCGGGCCGTCCGGCCTGCTTGCCGCCCTGGCGGCGGCGCGCGCCGGCCTACGGGTGATCCTGGCCGACGACCAGCCCGAGGCCGGCGGCCGCCTGCTCTCGCGCCGGGCGCCGCTCGACGAGGAGGCGCCCGAGGTCTGGCGCGACCGGGTGGTGGCCGAGCTGGACGCGGCGCCCAACGTCCGGCGGCTTTCGCGCACCACGGTCTTCGGCTGGTACGACGACAATCTCTTCGGCGCCCTGGAGCGGGTGGCCGATCACCTGCCGGAGCCGCCGGCCCATCTGCCGCGTCTGATCTACTGGCGCATCCATGCCAGGCGGGCGCTGCTCTGCGCCGGCGCCGAGGAGCGCCCGCTGGTGTTCGGCGGCAACGACCGCCCCGGCGTGATGCTGGCCTCGGCCGGCCAGTCGCTGGTCAACCGCTACGGCGTGGCGCCGGGCCGCAAGGTCGCGCTCTTCACCACCACCGACAGCGGCTACGCGGTGGCGCGCGACCTGCAGGCCGCGGGCGTCGCCCTGGCCGCGGTGATCGATCCGCGCGCGCCGGGCCCGGACGGCCAGGCCGGGCCGGAGAGCAAGGGGCTGGAGTGCCAGGTGCGCCGCCGTTCGGTGGTGGCCGACACCAGGGCCGGCCTGGGTGGCGGCCTGGGTGGCGGCCTGGGCGGGCTGGAGGTGGTGGACCGCGCGCACGACCGGCGCGTCACGCTGGACTGCGACACGCTGCTCGTGTCGGGCGGCTGGAACCCGATCCTGCACCTGACCTGCCATCGCGGCACCAAGCCGGTCTGGCGCGAGGCGCTCGCCGCCTTCGTGCCGGGCGAGGTGGGCGCCGCCTTCCGCGTCGCCGGCGCGGCGGCCGGCCACCTCTCCACCGCCGACTGCTTTGCCTCGGCCCTGGCGGCGGTGGCCGCCATCGGGGCCGATCTGGGCTGCGAGGTGCCGGCGGTCGAGGCGCCGGCCTGCCCGGAGGAGCCCTGCGCGCTCGCGCCGCTCTGGTGGGTCAAGGAGTCC